CAGTACACCTCAGAGCAGAGCAGTGGCTTTTAGACATGTCAGGGCCTGGAGATGCTGCACACAGTAGCTACGACCAGCAAGGTGTAATGTCAGCTTTTCATGGACACCTAAGATCTAAGGTACCTCCAACGGAATGAAGGAGCCACTTCTAAAACCTTGAAAAGGGTAACACCCCAGGATAGCTATGGATGCCGCCCAACACAGCATCACGAACCTACACATGATGAGATGTTGTTGTTGTTGTTGTTGTTTGGTAACACAATTATGGAGTTCTCCAGTGAGAACTTTGCAGATGCAATATCTGTCACAGTGTCACTGGGCACGCTTGGATTTGTAAGCTGTGAGAGCTCAGCATCCCACACAGGAAGGACCACTTGGGCCACATGTTTCTAATCATACCTGAGTGCCTTATCCCTGATACTGGTTCAAGGCTTATTAAAATGAACTTCTCTCCTCTCTTTCCCACCCCACTCCGATGACTTCGTCTGTCCTGTCTTCTCCAACCCCTCCTGAGCCCTCTCCAGACCTAACCTAGGTGAGTGGCTGAGGGTGACTGGTCACATGCAACCTCCAGCCCCAGCAAATTCATATGTCAAACCCTCAATACCTTAGGCTTATGGGCTCTCGACTTAGGCAGTCAAATTAAAAGGTCCTCTTCTTTCATTAGTTCCCCTATAGAAAGTGGGAACTATGGAGAGAGAACGCACAGTGTGAATGACACAGGGTTGGAGACAGAGATGCTATGATGAGTCTACAAGCAAAGAGATGACAAAAAGGGCCGGCAGAGCACCAGAAATCCAGGGCGATGCACAGTCTTCCTTGGGGACCCACTCAGAAAAAAACCCAGCTCTGCAGAATTCTTGATGGTGGACTTGCATCTTCCAGAACTGAGACAATGACTTCCTATTGTTTAAGCCACCAAGTGTGTGTGTTCTGTTAAGCACTCCCAGAAAGACTGACTTATCCAGCCCCTCATCCTACTCATCATCTCTCCGACCAGGTCCCATCTGTTCTTACATGGGTGCTTCTCTCAAACCTAGCATTTTATTTCCATTGTGATTTGTCACATATCTAAATATCCCCAGTCTTTAAAGGCCCAGATCAAGAGCCATCGGCTCCAAGATGGCCGATCAGAATGCTGTGAAGCCCAGCTTCAGTTAAGACGCTTCTTCTACTCTCAGTCACGTGTGAGCCTGTTTCACTTCAACGGTAGATGGCCAAGAGACAAGGGAGCCAGTGTACACGGGACCTTCCTAACCCAGAGAGCACAGGCTGGGTATGGTGCCGGGGTGGGTGTGGAGGAGTTTCCAGGAGGAGTGGATTTGGTGAGTGGTAAAGGGAGTAAAGGAAGAACAGAGCTGGAGCACTTCTGTAGCCACAACTGCTTCTGTGAACCTAGTCCATTTTCAGCAACTGAAATGAGCCAGGAAATAGAGCCATCGCCCCTCCCCATCCTTATGGGGAACACTTGTCTGTGCTAAAGCTCCAGGTGGTGCTGGTTCAGCTGCCTTCCTGTAAGGAGTCTACATCTCTCCCTGTGTGTTGGAGAGACTCCTTTTAGTTAAACCTGAAAGAAACTTGTGCCCAAGGGATCCCAGAGTCCCACTGCTCCCAACTAGACTAATTTTGTCGCCCTCCCAACCCCATCACTACCCCACCCCACCCCCACCCCGGGGGAATGTCTAGCAATGTCTGGAGACATTTTCAACTGTCACAAGTGAAAGGTCAAAGCCACCAGTGTCTAGTAGGAGAGAGGCCGGAGTGCTGCTAAACACCTTGCAACACAGGACAGGGTCACAAAGGAGGAGCCAACTGATGGTAAGGAAGGCAGTCAAGAGATGTGCCGTAGAGACATCATTTGTTCTGTGCTTGCATGTGTGTGCATGTGTGCGCGTGCGTGAGAGAGAGACAGAGACAGAGACAGACAGAGACAGAGAGAGAGAGATATGCACACTCTCCCCACTCTCAATTGTCAGGTAGACAGCAGACATCCCTCCCTTGTAGGAGAATGAATATTGAGACCTCTGTTCTTACTGGAAACAAAAACAAAAACAAAAATAAACAAAAAAAAAAAAAAGGAGCCCAAGTCTAAAACTCCTGAATTAACCTGAATATGCCACTTTTGCATCTAAACTCTTACTTTTTCACACAGCCACACAGTTTCCAAACCACAATCATCCTCTATTATTTAAATGAGATATGTCTGTAACTTTATCTCTGGGATTTACTTATTTTTTTTCTCTCAAGCAAACACACAAATAAACTTACAAAAAGAAACAGATTCATTTAGAAACTGTGCCAGAACACACGTCAGTTAGCCAGTTACAGCTTTTAAAGGAGTATAGTGTATCCCTGGGGTACAGATGGTGAGTGTGTGTGTTGTCTCCAGGAAGACAGATATTGACCGATAAACCCACAAAACCCTTTGGAGCTTCTCAGACGATGCAGCAAGGATGAGGTGTCCTTGAACACATCGATGGGGCAAACAACCATTTCATCAAGATTCTAGGATCGATTAGTGTCTGCAAGTTCAAGCGAATGGGCGTCTGGTCAGGAGAACAAAGATAACAATGGTCAGAGGAGGTGAGCTGCAGATGGTCTGCACCGGCCGGCTCGGCACTGGCCGGCCATGCTGGCTGAGTGGAGGCCTGCTCTCCAGCCATGTCAACCCCCAGCAGAGACTGATGTGAAAGCAGCCTTAGACACTGGAGTGAGCTCAGCAGGGGGCCAGAGGCCTGCCTTGCTCCTTGGCATGGACACCACAGTGACCAGAGCTTGCTAGGGGGTCCCTATCAGCTTCAGGGGGTCAGGGCAGAGCAAGAAGAATGGGGTATTGTTAACATTCCAGATGCAAAAATGCACAGGTCCCCTGGCAGTTCTGAAAAGTCGCCAACCTGTTTCCTCTGTCAGAGCATCAATGGGGCGGATGCCGAACCAAGGGCTGAAATGTTAAAAGATGGAGGTGGTGGAGCTGCTGGGAGGCTCTCGGTCCCCAGCAGCAGAGGCCTCAGATGTTCACACTGGACACCACGTCATATAGTCCAGTTATTAGCTGTGTGACCTTGAGCCACTTCCTTACCCTTTCTGATCCCTAGCTTGCTCATTTCCAGGATGAATGCCTGGACCACACTCTCCCAGGGCCCATTTCACTTTACAAACGAAGGAAGTTCTCTCCATGAAGCTGGTGTAGCCACCCTTAGAAATCCCACCTTTCCCTGTTGTTGGCTGACCACTGTAGTCAGAGCAGGGAAGCAGCAGCATGGACTGACATAGACCTCAAAATAAAAGAGAACAGCCTCTAATCAGCGGCTGAGGGCTGAGATAACACTGGCATGTGGTCTCCTGGGAGCCTGCCCAGACTGTTCTGACGAGAGAGTGCCCAAGCATGGACGTCGGTCATCTAAGTGAGGCTTAGGAAAGACGCCATTTGAAAACCCCTGGCCTGTGATCTATACCACGCATCAGAGGTCTGGGCTGCCCCAAGCCCCACAGGAACAGAGTGGACCAGTGGCTTTTGAAATCTCCACCACTCATAAATAAATTACTCACATTGGGACACAAATCCATTAGCAACAGAGATCTGGGTCATGTTTTTCTAGTCAGGTGGAAGGTACATGGAAGACATCCCAGGGTCCAGCAAATGCCACTGTCTGGATTTTACACCAAAGGTCCTCAAAATAAAGGAAACACCACCAGAAGCATTCTTCTTCATACCAAATCACCTCACCATTTTTTCACAGAAAGATCAGAGCACAAGTAGGTGAACCTTAGGGGTGCAATGAACAGAGCAGACCCTTGGTCTGGGGGTGCAGCCTCAACGCTAACAACAGGCACAATGGCGCTCAACCCGCCCCCTCAGAACAGCCAAACCCGAGTTCAGCACTTTATCTCACACCTATAAAGTAGACATAGAGAAGACATTGAGGCGGTGCAAAATAGGCTGAAAAGGCGGGTGGTAATGGTGGTGGTGGTGGTGGTGGTGGTGGTGGTGGTAAAAATGTCCCACACGAGACACCATGACAGTCACAAGCCTGCCAGACAGCAGAACTGAAGTGATCCTTCACAACAGACTATCATTTGATGACAATCTCTAAAACATATTGTCAAGAAAAAAAATCAAGTCAGAAAAATGGCCATTGGATGGTCCAACAGAAGGTCCTCTGCAGCTCTGATAAGGTCACTTCTAATTTGTGAACCCAGTTCCACTCTAGAGGGGTCTAAAAAGACAAACGCCCACCATTGATAATGGAGGTTGAGAGAACAGTGGTCACGGCTTCCCCCTTTCCCGTCTTTGTTTCTGTTACATTTTACTTTTAAAATACTGGCTGGATCACATAGTACTTGAATGACTAAAAGCAAGGTATTGTTGTGTTCTTTTGCATTTTCCAAACAAATCAACTAAATGGAATTCAATTTTAAAAGGCTTGTCTTAATCTCGGGGCCACACCTAGTAGGTAAACAATACACACCTGTGCAGGCCACGCCCTCCCTCCTCTTCACATTCTTCTTGTGCTGCTGCTTAGAGCATCCTTTACAACGGTGTAGGGAGGAATAATTTAAGCTAATCCTGAACCCCTTCCAACACCCAGGGGCTCCTCTCAGCCACACTAGCCAGGCTTGGGCTTGTCCGCCCACAGCCCCACCCAGGTTTAAGGACCCTTCGTGACAAATCTTAATGAACTCATTGATGGAGGATGGAGCAAAGAGAACGGAGGCTTGGGTGGGAGGTGGAAGGCAACTCTCAACCCCAAATCACAAATCCATTGGCAATTAATCAAAAGCTTTGCGCACCCTGAGCTGAGCCCAGTTGCGCAATACTCCTGCGATGGGCTGAGATTTGGAAGCTAGGTTCCGCGGAAACCCAGACTTTGTCCTACGGAGATTCTCGCCCCGAACATGTCTGCCCGGATTTCGACTGATCATTGCTCATAAGGTGCCCCAGCGCCGCGGGGCCATTGCAACTTCTGCAAGCATGCACGGTGATCGATATTTATAATTACCTTTCTCTTTCACCATGGCAACGGGGTCCTTGGCCGAGGGCACCGAAAGCAACAGGAATGGACTCTAGGCGTGCCAGCAGACCGATCGGCCGCGGCTGAGGCTGCGAGGAGACGCCCCCGGCACCCACACGCGAAGTCCGGGGCAGCCTAGCGAAGTCCCGCCCCCGCCGCGGCTCCCACGCCCGCCCGCACGACGGCCGCGCCCTGCTCCCGGACGCTGTCGTCTGCATGAAACCACTCGCTCCAGCTGCTGCGGTAGCAAATGCAAAATTCCAGTGTTGATCTCCGGTCACTGACACCACCTTGCATTCCTGACGCCCGGGAAAATGCTCCGGAGCCCTGGCTCCTCTCCCAGGGTCTGATAAATGATTGCCGAAGGAGGAGGGAGGCCAAGCCACACACACAGCCAGGGACTGTTCCCATAAGTAAACTCGTCAATTGTTAGCTTGTTAGTTTCCTATGACAGCTGCTTTCAATCCTGATTACAGCCTCTTTCAGGCAAACTGAGTAAGTAAAATTGGCCTTAATAGAAATATAATGCCGAGGCTCCTCCAAGTTCATTTTCCTCGGAAAAAAAAAATGAATAATGCCGTTTGATTACACACACACACACACACACACACACACACACACACACACACACACACTTTTTTTTTTCTGAATTGGGGGCAGGAGAAAGGAAGAGGGGTGTGAGACCGAGAGAGAAAACTCTAGCTGAGGGCCTTTCAGGATTCAGTTCCTTATCCCGGATCAAAATTAAAATCTGACTTATCCTGCTGGGGAAGACCCTAGCTTCTACCTTCCCTCTGTTTCTTCAGCGTTTTCCTCTTAAACTGTGTGGTTGTACCTCTTCGAGGAGGAACCCTAGCCACAATTAAGGGGCAAACAGTGTTGGCTGCTACTACTACAGCCAGGACTGGCCTGACTTGACTTGCAGGGAGGGTGGCACCATGTGGGGAGGGCAGTGCCTGGCTTTGGCTTTGTGACCTATCAGGTCACTGGCAGGTCGCCCGCAGAGGACGTCCTGGTTCACAGAGCTGCAGCCCACCCGCTCCAAGCACCTATCTGCCGGATCCAGCGCCATGTGTCTTACACGCCCATTGTATACACGTGGGAGAGACTCGATAAGCAAGAGACAAGCCAGACGTTGCACCACTCAGGGAGACGAGCAGATGGCCAGCCAACACATCCTTCAGAACCAGAATGCACAGCCAGTATTAGACTGTATTTACTGCAAATATTTTAACGTGTTGGGTCTAAGAGAGCCAGGGGAACAGAAAGGAGTGGAGCTGACCAACCTGCCGCAGCTTTGACTCCGAGGGTGCCACTGACGACTGAACTAAACTGGTGGGGCTGGGGAGAAGGAAGAGAAACACCCATTTCTTCATCGTCGTCTTGGGCAGGTCTTGACTGCTGACCTTCTGGTGAGTAAAAGTATCAGAGCCCGAGCAGCTGTGACATTCCTACATCTGTGACTCAGGGCTTTACTATTGATAGCTTGAAATGTCTCCGTCTGTAAATCACGGCTAAGTCCCCGACAGCTTCTGCCCTGTCTTTTCTGTGACATGCTTCACCCACACTACCCCTGCCACCTTGCAGCCTCCATGGGGCTGGGTCCAGCTTGTTCTGTCAGTGGCCAGCTGGACTATAAGTACCGAGAAGCCTAGAAGTGGGTTCTCTAGCCTCCATTCACACACAGGAGCCAAGCGCAGAGGGAGGCCAGGATTCAAGAACATCACAGAAGGAGACAAGCTCTCTGCATTCCCTGACTTTTATGGCTAAATCTGCACTTGGCTACTTTGCCTGTCCTAATCACCCTGAGCCATTAAAGAGATGTTGACAAGTAGAATCAACCGCAGAGAGCTGGAATCAGCTCCATGGAGGAGCCTAGCAGGTGAGTGTGCTGTTACATTTGCTGCATAAATAGATCAGGATTGCACTTGAGCATGACTCTCCGAGGATCTCCTGTTATTCAGCTGAAAGCTGAAGAATAGTGGGGCTGCAGACCTGGTTCCCAATCCCCAGCACTGCACAATAAATAAAAAATAAAGCAGAGGAAATAGCACATTCCTCCCCACCCCTACCCTTCCCTCCCTGCTGGACATCACAGTGAATTCTTTTGATTTTTTAGCTCAAGCCCAGTCACTCCTAGGTGCACCTTATACTGTAAATGTCACTAGTCCCACCCCCTCCCTAGTCCACGTGACAGTTGTGAATTCTGACATTTACACTTACCACACCAAGCTGGTCTGGTTGCAAGTTCTGAACATACCTGTACACCTCTGAAGTCCATTCATTTTCAGAGACACTTTCTCTACAGAAAAATACTACACAGTGGCTTACACACACACACACACACACACACACACACACACACACACACACACACACGTTTTCCATGGAAAGAATTTGTCTGTACCGCAGTCAGCATGGATGACTCACCAGCAGTTCACTGCTAAACAACAACCATGTGGCAGAAGTCCCCTAACCATCAGGCATTGCTACTTTAGGATAAGAGCGTCCACTCTGCACTCTCAAGACTACCAGAGGCGACTGCTTAAGTTATTTTTGGAATGTGGGAGAATAAAACCTTTTTTTTTTTTTTAGTCTACTTCTCCTCAGGGCCAGATGCTTCAACAGAAGCGAGCAGAGATATCTGCTTGTTTACACTGGAAGCTAGGAGGGGAGGGGAGAGAAAACTGAAGCGGTTCACGAGAAAGGCTTTTTATTTGAATTTCTAAGGATGATTTCCAGTGAAATTACCTCAGCCTCCTCTCACCGGGATGAGACAAGTTCTAACACAGCACTGACCCAGGGCTTTACATGCCGCTTTCCTCTCAACCCTTTACCTGCTCACTGCTACTTTTTCTCCCACTCACAAAATGAAGCCAAGACTGTCCATCATGACCAAAGAACAGAGACCGTATTGCTGGAGAGAAAAGGCTTGCAACCTCTCCCCTCCACTCTTGGTGAAAAATCAAGATCCATCACTGAATAGAAATGCCTGCTAAGCGGAAAATGTCACCACTGGAAACAGGGCTGTGGAAGAGCCCTCTCCACAGCAGAGCTGCTGCATAGACACCTGTAAGGCAGGGATGCCAGGACCCTTTCAGGCCCTAGGGCCCTAAGGCACACAGGTGACATCTCTACACCTCTGGATGGCCCCTCTAGCAGAGTCCAGTAGAAACACACACACACACACACACACACACACACACACACACACACACACACACACAAAGATAAAACCCCCAGAGAATGAGTCTCTTATTTTGTCTCTACTTGATGCTTACATCTGTCTCCCCCACCTCAGATGCTAACGGGATGCTGGCTCATGCCAGGTGTCATGCAGACAGCACAGAAAGAAGATGCACAAATACTCCTGGAGAGATTAGGACGGTGCTGAGAGACACTGTGCACAGGCAACTCTGAGCCCCAGCCGGGAAGTCAGGATGGGAGATGGATAGGAAGGGCTGGCTGGGACGGGTAGGGCGTGAATGACCTATGCCAGCAGAGGTCATGGGACAGAAGGTATCAAGTAGCTGGCTGCTTGTAGGCGGCAGAGGAAGTACAAGCTTAGGTGTGTGGGAGATCACAGAGGGACTCGCCATGCCGTGCCATGCTGTGCCATGCTATGCCTTGCCATGCCAAGGCTGGACTTCAGAGGTGGTGTGGCTAGAATCTCAACTCTAAGCTACTTCTTTATTCTGAAACTGAGTTCTAAAGCCCCCATGGCCTGTTTCCAACAGTGTGCATTCAGTGTCTATTTCCTATATTTAGCAGACCGTCTGATATGGACTAGATGTTCAGGAAGTGTCTGGGTTTGTTAGTTTATTTAAACATCTCTCTGATAATAGGAATGGAAGGATCACTTTACACACCACACATGCAGCATTTTTAAAAGCACAGTTTATTTGGGATTCTTATGGTTCCATAGGGATGGCTTCATATCCATAATGGGGCTATGTGCTTGAAGGCAATGTATACATGAAGACATGTCATTTATTTCCACCCCCAAGTATGTTCTGTAGATCCCTCAGGGACAGATGTCCTTATAAGTGCTTGAAATGCAGACACCTGGCCTTCACTGCTGGTCTGATGACCCAGATTCCAATGGGGATGAGGTCTGAGCTACAGCCAGCTCCCTTGGTGATTGATGACCCCCAGCCCAGCCATCCAGCCCACAAAATTGGAAGACAGCATAAGATTTGCAAACAGCTATGTGCATGGCATCACATTCGAAAGATAATGCTTACAACTCTCCATTGGCCAAAATAACGATCTGTGAGGCAGTTACCACAACCTTAATGAAAATTTACTGAAAACAATGACTACAAACGCCCCTACCATCTGAGACACATTCCTGCCAGTCTGGCTCCTCGGGGCCCACTAACTTTTGAGGGCTCAGCAGACAACTCAGGATTTTTGACAAATGGTCTCACCCACTCAGTGCCCAGCAGAGCTCTTGTCCTGGAGTCCTTAGGGGAAAGGGATTTGGGTACTTGTTTCCAGGCCTTCTTTGTGGTCCTCAGGAGCCAGTTCTGAGTTTGGATCTAAGCACGAGGCTACAGTCAGGACAATGCCTAACGGGTGTTGTAGTTTTATAAAGGTCACTATGAACAATCCACTGAGGAGAGAAATAGGAGAGCAAACATAAAATCAGTCGTCTTTCTACAACCTATTATTAGAGTTTGAAGAATCGTTTTAGATAGAGTCGTACAGACCTCAGTCTAATGTCAGGCCCACGAGACGTTCTCGTGTAGGGAGACAGCTCTGACTGACTAGTAAAAGGGCATTTTGAGAAACAAGTTACTCTCAGCTGTCTCATTTTCCTTCATGTCTCCCAGGCAGAAGTCCAGTTTTTCAGCCATAGAGCAACCAATTTTTATCAGGTAGGGTTGCAATGTCCTCATGGCCTCTCTCTCTCTCCCTCTCCCCAACTCCCCCCCCTCCCTCTCCCTGATAGTTACTGCCACCAAAACCCGGACTCTAGTGTTTATTTTTGCAAAAGATTATGAGCTCTCTTGGGAAGGAGTTCCCATGTTATGGCGTCTGTAGTCACATAATAGTGACATTAAGTAGGAATGCAGTGTTTGAGGAATACTAATCACTTTAGCCAGTGGTCCCTTACGGTAATGAATACCTG